CACACCCACACCCACACCCACACCCACACCCACACCCACACCCACATGTTCCAACGAGCTGTCAACTTCTATTGTAATAACTATATTGTATAATATGATTTTTAATAAGAATGATAATTGATGTTACATAAAAATAAAAAATAAGTTACATCTCATGTTGAGTGCACATGTTTTAAGATCAAGTTTTAAAGACAGATAAATCATGAATTTAAAAATAAAATAATATTATATTTTAATCATTAAAATCATATAAAGACAAAAACTTATTGGTGATATTTTTAATTAAACTAAGTGAAAATAATAATTTATTGCTACGGTTTATTTCGATCAGAACAGTGAGTTATTGATCTGACGACATCCATTTTGGAAAAACAAAAAGTCACAACAATAAACAAAAAGAAAAAAAAATAACATGGATGAAGATATTTTTCTATATGAAACAAAATTCACATCTTTTTTAACATCAATTTCAATTAAGACATTGCATCGAATGATATTTCGTTAGCTATTTTTGCAAAGTTAATCAAAAAGTTTTCAGAATTTCTAATTCATACAGAGACTCCGTTTTGATCCCCCCCAAAAAAAACTTCATCGGAATAATTTAAGTTTCTAATCTTTTTTCACGAGGACACGAATGCTCGGTGTGAAACCATATAAGTACTTGAAAAAAATATTAATTATTTTTTTTTATTAGAGCACATTAGACCCTCGATATACAGATGTTTGTAATTCTCTATCATTAACTAAATGTTTTCATAGAAACAAAAATGAAATAAACATTGTATAACTAACTGAAGAAATATTATCGAATGTTGTATTTTACTTGAAATATGTGAATTCTGTTTAAGATAGAAAAATATCTTTATCTATGAAAAATGAAAGAAATAAATTATCACATAAAATTTTTCAAAATAATTAATAAAAATTTAATTTTCACAATTTTGTTTGATTCACTAAAATTTTATCAATAATCATATACTGTTTATAATAATCATTAAGTAATGTTACAAGTGTATCATTAAATAAATTTTTAAGTAATTTATTAAATATTTTCCAATTACCTTCTTCAAGTATATCATCATGTTTTAAATGTGAATCACCAAATTGATTAAAATCATCTCGATTCCAATAACTCATTGGATATGTACGATCAAGACGTTCAATATGACCACGTTCACTTATATTAAACTTTGAATGATTTTTACGATAATCAGTTAATAACATTGAACATAATACTTGATCCATATACCAAGCAGAATCACCTTTATCCATACGTTGATCAAAGATTGTTTTAAACTCATGTCGACCATATAAACTTATCGTATTAAATGATAGAGGAGCATATTCACTTAATAAATATTGTGTATGATTATCAGCATTAATAAGAAGTTCAGAACGTTGTACTGATTCCATAATAATAGCACGCCATGCTTTCTTTTGTAAAAATATATGACCCACTAGAACAAAAAACAAATAGTTTTATTTATTTAACTATATGTAAGAATGTTAGAGATTAATGATAATTATCTTTATAGAAAAGCTCATCATGTTTTGATAATTTGTGAATAAATAAAAATATTCATATAGATTTTCAAATAAGAGTGAATAGTATGAAGAGTCAAATATTCTTAACCAACAAAGAAAATAATTTAATTTACTTGGAAACATTGTATAAGTTTTTCCACGTCGTTGAAATGTTCCACAACAAAAAGCATTAAAAATAAAACCATTTGTACCGGGTGTTGGTTTATATTCACTTGCTTTCAATGGAATTAAATCACTATCACCTGTTAAAATATTATCTTCATCTTGAACAATACTATCAGGTAAAAATCCTGAAAAAACTCGTACTAATTGAGATAATTTAACTGAATATGATTCATTACATTGTATATCAACAATATGTCCACCCATATGTTTTAAATAATTACGTGATAAATTTAATCGTCCTGTAAGAACATTTGGTTTAGTAAAATCTCCAACAAATATAGCAATTGTTTCATAACCAACACGTTTCCAACTAGCAGCTGCTATTGGTGTATAAAATGTATATGCTAATATTGTTGAATGAATTGAACAAGCAAATACTGCAAAACGACGATTTTCTGATGGTGGAAGTAAAATTGTTTTAGTTTGATTAATTTTATCAGTTAAATTTATTTTATCAGTTTTATTTAGTAATGGATATATGATGATATTTTGTGATGAATGTGAAATAGATATTAAACTATTGGCTATAATTGAATTTAATAATGTCCAATTTAATGATGTATTTGAATAGAGTACCAATGAAATAATGCAGAATAAAATACATAATAAAATAAATGTTATTTTCATACGACTTGATGTAGTCTAGAAAAATGACAGAAAATTTTCTCTAGAGAAATCTTCACATTATTTTTTTTTCTGTTTTGTTTATAAAAGTATCTCAAGAGAAAAATTTTCTTCAATATTGTGTTTTGTGTGTGTGTGAAAGTAATAGAAATAAATAAAGTTATTGTATTTAAAAATCATAAGGATTTTTTATGTTTGTTCTTTTTTTCGTTTCATGTGATTTTAATACGAAAGAAACAAAATTTTTTTTTTTTGTTGAATTTCTTACTGATTGATTGGCGGCAATCATTGGACTGATCAGTACCATAATTAAGTATTGATTCTTTGAAATAAAAGTAATGTCAAATGATATTATTTGTCTGTAAAAGAAAACATACTCGAGTAAACTTATGCCAATGTATGTTTCATTTTGGAGTACAGATGCTGTCTGTTGATGGAAATAAAGTGAATGCCACGGTCTATGAAAAAAGAAGAAAACAAAGCAAGATCAAAAAGAG